GGGAGGGTGGAGGGACCGCGCAGGAGAGAAAGGCCCTCTATGAGGTGGATTGATTCAGTGACTGGGATAATTGGGATGGGAGTGTCAGAAACAGTGCGATTGGCACAGGACAGAGCAGAGTTTAGGTCTGTTCTACGTAGGGTCACTATGAGTCGCAAGCGACTCGACGGCACATAACAACAACAACAACAACATATGTTGGTGGTGTTATGCACTATTTAGTTGATTAGAACTCAAAGTGCTCTTATGAACAATAGATGGGGACCCTGCCCAATCCCAGGCCATTCACCCTATTCCCAAACAAACTCAAGCCTCCTCTCAGTTACCCTGTCAATTCATCTCCGTGAGTTGTAATCAGCACAGTTTGGTCATTGTGAACCTGCTTGCCATGAGAACTCAAGATGGCAGTGGCAAAGGTATAAACAACAACAGGAAAAGGTGAAGTCTCACTCACTGTTTGTTCTCACCTCTTATCACTCTATTCACCAGGTTACTGGCTGTATCTACCCCATCCACACAGGCCTTGTTCTAGGTCAGTGTTGAACACCCCCTCAAGCTCTGTTCTACCAAAAGCCATGTCCTCACATCTTGCATATGGAGCTAAAAGTTCTCAAGAGTGTTCTTCAAGAGTCTGGGGACTCTGCCACACCTGGTCTATAATCAGCCCCCAAAATAGTGGTGGTACTTTACGAACTGGGGTCATCATCTTACTGAGAATCCCTACCCCAAACACTCTAGTTCCATTTGGAACAATGTACTTTTGTGTGTGTGTGTGTGAGTGTACCGTCAAATCAGATTTGACTGGTACCGGAGGAGATTGTCCCTCCTTCCTCGGCAGAGCATCTGGTGGATTCGAACCGTGCGCCTCTGGGATTGTAGTTGCAGCTCCTTGCCACTAGGCCACCAGAGCTCCCCTGGAACAATGTACTTTTAACAAGATGGGTCATCCGTGGCGATCTCACCTTATAATGGCCATCTGACTGGGCACTCTGCCTGCACCCATTCTCTAGACTGACAAGCCTGGGTTTCTCTGAGGCCAGCAGAAATTCCGCCTCAGGTTGATGTTCTACCCCTGGACAGACCTGAGACCAGAGGAGGTGACACCCATGATCTAACTCACACCTTTAGGCCTTGGTAATCACACAAATGGACAGAAAAGGTGTCCTGACTAGGCACCCAGATGCCAATCTTCTCCTGGGCTGGCAGATATAATGCCCCAGGCTAGACAGCTTGCTTTCTATTTCCCATGGTATACATGTTTTATGATATTTGCACACTTGTTTTACAGGTTTTTTAAAGTATAACTCCTGTCAGTTTGCCGTGCTGTGGTGACTTCTGTTTTACTGTAATACTAAAAGCTTTGCCACTGCTATTTTAAATACTAGCAGGGCCACCTATGGTGGAAATGTTTCAGTGGAACTTCCAGATTAAGACAATCTAAGAAGCAGGACTGGTCATCCACTTCTCAAAGAACAAGCCTTCAAATCCCTATGAATAACAAAGAAGCAAAGTTGGATATATAGTGCTGGTAGATAAGCCCCTTAGGTTGGAAGGCACTCAAAACCGAGGAGAAACAGCTGCCAATATCCATTAATAACTAGAACATAGAGTCTGTGAAGTATGAATCTAGGAAAATTAGGAATTGTCAGAAATAACATGGAGTGCATAAATATTGAGACCCTAGGGATCAATAAACTGAAAGGGACTGGTATTAGCCATTTTCATTCAGACAATCATACATATGATTATGTCAGTTTCATGTTTTATCCTGAAGCACAATACTGTGAGTAATAAGATACTATCCATATAAGAAAAACAGAGTGGCTTAATAATAAACTAGGCAATGGAACAGAGTATGTACGAATACTGAACAACCACATTGATACTGGCACTGGCACAGATAGGAGAAGGAGGGTGTTGGTGACATTTCTTGTAAAAAAATAGACAATAACACACACTTCTAGTTACATTAAGACCTTTTTTTTTTAAATTTCCCAACAAAGATGTTTATTTATAGTCTCAATTCAAACTAGGGAAAACCTGGCTTTTGCTCATACAGCTTTCAAATGATTGGAGAAGGCCTATACTCATTAAGTTAATATTCTTTACATAAGGTCAACTCACTTGATTACAAGTAACCACTTCATAATAGTCCAAATTACATTTTGGCCAATACATTAAGACTTTTAGATGAAAGACAAAACTATAAAAATTTCAGAAGTATAAAATAGTATCTTTATGAACTCTGGGCAAGAGGAATTTCTGCATGCATAAAAAACATAAACAACAAATACAGACTAATAAATTTTATTATGCAGAATATATTCATTGTTATCCAGTTGGAACCAACTCAAAGTAGACCTGTCAGTGGGTTCCCAAAGTAGGACATCAGGAGGAGCTTGCCCACCTTGCTCCTTTGGAGTCTTTAGTGGATTAGAACTCCCTGAAAATATAGCCTTTGGGTTAGCAGCACAACCCTCCATGGACCATGCCATCAGATTTTAAAAGTTTGTTTTCAAAGGACACAGAAGGAAAAGAGGTAAAAATACAACTGCAGTAAGGAAAGGTATTCACAATGCATAAAATCAAAAAAGCGTTAGTATCCATAGTATGTTCAAATTTCTAGAAATAAGATGACAATGTAGGAGAAAAATGGGCAAAAAACCTGAGTAGACTCATAAATACTAAAATTTCAGACAATATAAAAGTTCATTGAAGATGGTGATGTATTCTTACCTTGTAATAGGCCTTTGCATTATTAAAAAGCAGCTGGAAGTCAGCAGTCAGCAGATTAACATCATCATACTCTTCCATTTTTAGTTTCTGTTGAATCTTCATCAAGTCAATGGGTTGAGAAACCACTTCATAGTAGTCTGGTTGATTTCTGTTAAATTTAAACGTGTGTGTAAGTATATTAAGACGGTATTAATTAGAATTTACAGTTTAATACACCAACCAAAGCAAATTCTTAAAGAGATTTACAAACTGTGTAGTTTGAGCAATACTGTCACCTACAACATTTGAGAAAAGGTCTATATTCCACTGAGGAAGGAAAAAGGTATCCTAAATAATCTGGAGAAATTGGTGGTGCTTAAGAAAGTACTACATCTTAAAACAACAGCAAGATAACACTGCTTCATACTTGGAAGATAACAGTGCCTTAGCACCCAAGGTCTGTTCCCTCTGCTCCTTAGGACCAGTGTTGGCAGTATGCAGGCAGCAGAGGGCCAGTGCTCCTGCTGATTGGTACAGCACAAGTATAATAGGAACAGCTCTTTGTACTCCAGCGTGCTGACACTATTCTATATAAAGTATTTGGACATGACTATAGATCTGAGCCTGAACTCTAGTTACCTTTTAGCAGTTCTGAAAACCTAGGTAAGTATCATCTATAAACTATTAATAAGTATATTTCAGGTTTAGAAAAATATGAACAGAAAGTGCTTAGCACATGGTCAATGAAAATATGGGCAATGCGTTGCTAACTCAAAGGTGGGGCTTCCCTGGCATGCTTTAATAATTTTAAAAATCCACTACAGGGTCACCTATGGGTTGGTTCTGATTTGACTGCAGTAAGTGAGATAGAGAAGAAAATATGGACAATTTTGGGAGACCATTATTCTGCCTACCACATTCACATATTATTTCAAAACAAATAACTACCACAGTTTTTAAGTGAACAGTGGCATCACTGAGAATGAGAAAAGAATGCTGTAGTCAGGGAAATGTAGCCTCCATATGGAAGTGTGTACAAGGTGCAATCGGGGATCAGCAATTTGTTTTGCAGAGTTGGAACACAGAAACCAAGTCCAAAAGTAAGGAGAAAGAGGAAGAGGTAGAAAGCAAAGTGAAAAGAGTCATTGTAGCAGAGTTTAAAAAAAATGGATCCCTCTTTAGCTGCTATAATTTTACTGTCTGAAAAGCCATGTTGTTGTATACTGTTGAGTCAAAACTGACCCACAGCTGACCCTCTTGTGGATTTTCAGAGGCAGTCTAAGCACACAGAAGGAGACTCCCCGTCTTTCTCACATGGAGCAGTTAGTGGATTCAAACTGTGTGCCTTCACGAATGCAGCACAGCTCCTTTCCACTATGGGCCACGAGAGTTCCCTTTAAATGCTGTAGATAACTTAAAACTCTGCTTCATTACACTTAAGAATAAAGGCTAAAATATAGACTCTAAAATGATTAAGGCATTCCTTCCACAGGAAAACTCAATTACAGAATACTTTAAACAGTGACCCTGGACCAAATCCCTCTATGGTTCTGTCATACTTAAAACTCACCTTCTCTTTGGGGCCCTAATAAAGAGCTCACAGAGGAGCCGGCCTTGTTCATCCTTATAGTCGCGGATGGTGTTGTAGAGTTCATGGCACACAGCAATCTACACATGGTAACAGAAGAAAAACCACCAAGAAGTAACTAGGAGGCCAGTACAAGCATAAGTCTTATTTACTACTTTTAAGAAAACATATCCATAAAAGGCCAGCAAAGAAGAAACAAGATAAATTTCCCAAATCACGCAGAAATCCAAGTCTGAAATATACTGACAGTTCCTCTTTTTGGTTAAAATGATCTAACTGCTTTTTTGGGTTTCTTTTAGCAGATTAATGTGACCAGTGGTTGTTTCTCTTTTAAATGAATCCATCCACATCACTTAAAATCATGATAAAGGACTGCATAAAAAATAACAACTCCTAACAATCCTTACAAAGGCCTTACATACTCTGGTTAGGTGGACCTTGCCAGTGTTCCCTCTGTAATCATGACATACCAACCCTGTTCCCAATCCCTCCCCTCTGCCTGAACTATTCTATGGGATATTGCAAGCCTGTCACCACAGAGCAATTTTCCTGAAAATGCTTATCAAAACAACCCTAATGAACCAAATGTGTCTTCCTAGCATACATATATCATTAGCTGAAAAGACTATCTTCTTCATTTGCGCACTTTTTTTACATTGTGCTTTCCCAACACTACATGTGATCTTGGGAAAAAACAGGCTAGACTTACTATACATGGCCATATTTTAATCACTAGAACATATCCTACCACATGAAAGACACACAGCTGGCTCTTGAACATATGATGAAATGTACAGATATTATTTCGTAATATTAAACTATTACAGTTTTAGCTGAATGTATACTTTTCATTAAAAGAAGCTTTTTTTTAAAAAAAAAATTTATTTATTGTGTATGTACCGTCAAATCAGATCTGACTGGTACAGGAGGGAAATTTTCCCTCCTTCTCCGGCAGAGCATCTAGTGGATTTGAACCATGTACCTCTGGGATTGCAGTACAGCTTCTTGCCACTAGGCCACCAGAGCGCCCTTAAAAAAAACTTTTATGAATATTAAGCAAAGGAAAGAAAAGAATGCAGAGAGGTTTTGCATTTTAACCATTACTATGAAAAGAAACAGCATGGCCACATTACTCACAGGATCTACAGTTGGAAGATTCGAAAGTCGTCTTCTTTTCCTGCTTGGTCCTGGTGTGGACACAGAATGGTGTCCATCATCAAAATCCCCGCTGACACTACTTGAAGGGGAGGTAGCTCTTCTTCTTTTGGAACCCATGGAATCCAATTTCTTCTGTAAGAAATAATCACCCATGTTCTTATATTTAAATTGAAACTCTGTTACCAAACTCTTAGCTGCCATGTCTCTGGTCCACTTCAGATATTTTAACTGTTGCTAAGATTTTTAACTAGCTCTTAAGTTTTTGTGATGTAAATCCTGAACCTCATTATTTCACTCTCTTCACTTCTGATTGGCCTAACTCTGCAAAGGCGAACTTATTTTTATACACCAATTTTGAGTGATTCAACCACTTGTGTGTCCCTAAATTTATCCTGGATTATAGTTATCCAACCTATCACAGATATCAAGTTAGGCATGCTTGAGAAATAGAGCTTCAGGTGGGCCATGCTGTAGAAAGGGTAGTACGCAGTGTCTGGAGTGGGAAGTGTCAAAAAAGGTAAAGTACAGAGGACTTTTAATCTTCCGGCATTTTAGATGCACCATGAGATTACTACAACCAAAAAAATACTTTTTTTCCCATTCATTAGAACAGGATCCACCAAAACCTCTGAAAAGCAGTTTATGTGACTTGCCATATGACAAATGCAGGAGTAGTAAAACTGTGCTTTGAAACTCTTCTGTTAGAAAACTGATTTCTTTCTTTAGTTATGCTAGATACTTTATCCCCTGAGTGATCTGGAAGAACACCCAGGGATGAATCTTTCAGGTTCTGCTTGACCTTCCAGGAACATTTAAGAATTTTTGCACTCTCTTCTTCTAGATTGTCCTATTTCCAATTCTAGAAATAACTTTGGAAAAAAGTGTGAACAACAATGCTGGTATCTATAAAGTGTACCTTAAATTCAAGGACAAAAAAATGTAAGAAAATAGTATCCTAACTTCTACATCTCTGAAAATCAATTAGAGAATCATCTATGAGTCAGTACCAACTTGGCAGCATACAACCACCACCACATCTCAGCTCCTAAAAATAAAATGCATGAGCACCCAAAATAGGGAGGGCGGTGGTTTAGCTTTAAAATGATCAGCTTCATATATGGTAACTTAAGAAGCTACTATTAAAATAGTACATATTCATTTCATGTAAGTTTTATCTGAATTTAAAAATATTAATAATAGATCTTCTAAGACCATCAAATCATAAAGCCTAAATTGATTAAATATTTTTTTTAACTGGAGGTCTTTATACAGGAAACTTCCAAATAAGAAATATAAATTATACAAGTAAAGAAAAACTGTAAAATGCCATTTTTATCAAGCAAGGAAAGAGAAAAAAAACTGGACATCTATCCATATTTGTATTCTGTGCTTAGGATCCAGATTTGAGTTTTTCTGTGGCTGAAATAATGAATTTATTAATAAGAAAGTCTTAATTCAATTTTACAAATGTATGCGTTTGGCATAGCCAAGAAATGAAACCAAGAAGGAAATCATCTGCTATAGATAAGGGAGAGTGGTACAGGTAAACAGTCACCAAAAGTCCCACAAACTTTATGTAGCATGGCCAAATAGCATTTTGCAATTCCCAGGGTCTTTTTACAAGTTAAAAAATTTTGATCCCATTTTTATCCAACTTCCCAGAACACTAGTAGCTAATAGAATAACAATAGGAGAACTCTGGCTTGGGCAGTTTGGAAAGAAGAGATGAGGCTCTAATTTTGAGGTGGGGCTCACTGGGAACAAAAAGCAAGAGTAAAACAAACAAAGCACCCTGGGGACTCTCCTAGCTCCTCTTTGGAACTTGGTTCATATGGTATTTAAAAACCACCTGATGATTGTGCTGTTCTCTTGGTACTGGTTTATCATCTACACAGTGTAGTAGTTATGGGTTTTTTTAAAATGTAGTAGTTTGTGATTAGCTGAAACCTTAAAAGATTAGGGCTAAGGACTGACAAGTTCATTGATTTGAATTTTATAAAGGCTGACAATTGGCTTCAATTCACTAAGATAAAGAAACTAAGAACCAACCCATTGTAAACAAGGACACAGGTGGTATGTGGTATACACGAGGAGGGACTCTTCTTTATAGATAACAAAAATTTAAGGGAAGTGGAAAGGGAAAGACAAGGAAGGATAGAAAAGGGAGAGTGTAGATGATCAGGAATTTACCAGCTTTACCAGAGCACAACCAGCGCCTCGAAAAGCCAGTCTCCTCATTTTGCCTCAAGGCCAAGTGCAGCCAGTGGGAGAAGGCAGGGCTTTAGAAGTGCTGATTCAGTGTTAGTATACGCAAAACTGAAAGAGAACAAGGCAGAGAAAAGGAAGTAGAAAGGGTGAGAAGTAGTAAAAATGAATACAAATTGATAGAAAATATTTAAGTAGAACACACAAGGGAAGATAACAAAGCTGCAGGAAATAGGCATGTCAGTTCTCTCGCCCTATTAAACTGCTGCAAAGGTTCAAAACCTGCCAGTTTCTGATATTTCTCCCATTTTATTTTTTTTTTCAGAAGCTATTCATCACAGAACTATTTCTCCCATTTTAAAAACAAATCCTTCCCATATGCTAAAGACACCTCACATGGAACATGTGCTTACATGCCCCTTTGCTCACACGGACAGAAAGTCAATTCCAGGAATGAAGCCACTTTCCCAATTGGCCCCTAGTCATTAAGTTCAATCAGAGCCAGAATGGAGAGACAACACGTATGAGAGACTCATTTGTGACATAAAGTTTTGGCAAGCTGGGAAAAACCAAGAGTGGTGCATGTGAGCAAAGAGTCTGGAAACCTTTGTCCCCTCACCCACAGTTTTTTTCCCCAGTGAGGAGAAGCAACATTTTTTTTAAAAGTCCTATCAGCATTCAAACAGCATATAAAATTTTTTCTTAAAAAATGTCTTCAACCATTTTGACAAAAGTTTAAAATTATTTCTTTAAATAATTCAGTGAAAAGAAAATTTTTAAAATCTACCTTACCAGTTTACATCAATATAGATCATACAATAACCAGCTATCCTTGAATACTAATTTACTTAGACATTCTAAGAAAAAAGATTCAACTTAAGAATAATTTCCAGATATTTTTACTCTAATGAACACATTTTAAAACTTATGAAAGTCTGGCAAGAAAGGCAGCAGGGTGAGGTAAGAGAAGGAAGAGGACCTGTGTTCAGAAGACTGGAATTGGAGATGAGGGTCTTCCACTTCGAATTATGTTTGTTGTTGCCTGTGCCACAACCTCTCAGTCTGTTTCCTTGCCTCTAAAATGAGAAGAAAGCATGCGTATCTTCCTTGGATTACCGTGACAGTGAAAAGAACTATGCACATGAAATTATCTCAAAACCACAAACTACAACAAAATGTGAAATCCCAACTCTAAGACTATGTGCTCTCTAGCCTCAGGGATTGTGTCATATTCATTTTTGTGGCCCCAGCATACAGAATAACACCTGGTATAGACTGGGAGCTCAATTTATGTTTGTTATTACAAGTACACATACAGGGGATCTTGTTGTTATGTGCCGTTGAGTCACTTGCGACTCACAGTGACCCTATGTACAACAGCCCTAAACCCTGCTCTATCCTGAGCCAATCTCACTGCCTCTGCCACACCCATCCCGATTACCCCAGTCACTGAATCAATCCACCTTATAGAGGGTCTTTCCCTTCTGCGACATCCCTCCACCCTACCAAGCATGATGTCCCTCTCCAAGGACCTGTCCATCCTTGCAACAAGTCCCAAGTATGTCAGACGAAGCCTCAGAATCCTTGCTTCCAAGGAGCAGCCTGGTTTAACTCTCTCCAGCATGTATCTGTTTGTTTTCTTCTCCAGCACCACAGCTCAAAGGCATCAACTCTCCTTCTATCCTCCTTAGTCATCGTCCAACTCTCTGATGCATAACAAGTGATTGCAAAGACCATAGCCTATATCAGACGCACCTTAGTCTCCAGAGTGACACCATTGCTCTTCAGTACCCTGGAGAGGTCCCTAACAGCAGACTTTCCCATCGCAAAGGGATTTCCTGGCTACTGGTGACAAAAGTGTTGACCATGGAGCCAAGCAGACTAAAGTTGTTAACAATCTCAATCTCTTCACCATCCATCCTGATGCTGCCAATTGGTCCAGTGGTGAGAATCTTTTGTCTTCTTGACAATGTGCTTCAATCCATAATGAAGGCTGCAGTCCTTGGCTCTCTGCTGCAAGCATTTCAGGTCCTCCTCAGTTCCAGCAAGCAGGGCTGTGTCATCTGCATAACGCAGATTGTTACTAGATCTTCCACCAATCTTGACGCCACACATGCCACACTTCTCCTCATAGAGCCCAGCCTCTCGGGTAATCTGTTCTGCATACAGATTGAAAAGGTATGGAGATAGGACACATCCCTGGCATATGTCCTGCCCAGTTTTGAACCATGCAGTGTTTCCTTGCTCTGTTCTGATGACTGCCTCTTGGTCCAAGTATAGGTTTTGCATTAGAACAATCAAGTGTCCTGGGATTCCCATTCTTCTCAGAGTCAGCCACAATTTGTTATGATCCACACAGTAAAACGCCTTGCATAATCAATGAAACACAGATAGACATTCTTCTGGTATTCCCTGCTTTCAGCTAAGATCCATCTAACATGAGCTGCAATATCCCTAGTACCACGACCCCTTCTAAACCCAGCCTGGACTTCTGGCAGTTCTCTGCTGATGTGCTGTTCTTAGAAAATTTATTCATGTAGTTCAAAAGACAGTGAGCATTCTACCACCAATTTTTACCCATTCAAAGGAGAAGAGATTCTAGAGTTCAAGTCTTTTTAAAAATGGCCTTTGATTACAGTCACAAAACCAAAGGCCTGACAACCAATGAAGATGGGCAATTTCCTCCTGGGTGAAAATTTACTGGAGGATTAGCTATGATGGGTCAGTTCTGACTTGAGGATACACAACAACAACAACAAACAATAAAGAAGAGCTATCTAACATGCAAAAGGAGAAATAATTTACTTAATATAGCCAAATGACATATTTCAACCATCCTTAAGCTTCTTGTACTCTTTTGTATTTCTAGTGACAGTATTGTTGCTGCTTATTTTTATTTTTCATTTCATGCATTTTTTTAAAACAAAAATCATAGCAAACAGGCTCAAGGGAAACAATCTCATCCGTAATTCTACTTCCAAGAGTATACCATCCTTAATATTGGCACTTAAGGCTTCCAACATTTATTCTATGCATTTTTGGGGGTGTTTCCCCCTTTTGAAAAGTGATAAATTGTACCTATTATTTTGCTGGCTGCATTTTAACTTAAGAGTAAATTCTTCCAACACTCTTCCACACGATTTTTAATGTTTTGCCAGTAGTCTATCAAATAAATATCATCAGTCTACTAATCTTGGGGATTTAGGTAAAATAACATTTGAAAGATTTTCTAATGCCCATCGTCAAAGAATGTGGTCAAGGCTCCTTCTACCCATATCTTAATCTGAAATACTTTTCTGAGAAAAAAAAAGAAAGAAAGAAAAGCTTCCCAATATTCTTATTTTGGATGTTACCACATGGGCAGTCTCTTGTGTGTTTGTGTGTGTACCATCAAATCAGATCCGACTGGCACAGGAGGAGATTGCCCCTCCTTCTCCAGCACAGCATCTGGTGGATTTGAACCATGCACCTCTGGGATTGCAGTGCAGCTTCTTGCCACTACGGCTCCCTTATGGGCAATCTCTTTTTTTTTTTTTTTTAATTTTATTGATTTTAATGAACATTTACAGAGATTTTGGATTTCCATTCATTCACTGTTGCACTTTTCTCCCTGCCCAGCCCTCTTCCCCAGTTCACTCCTCTCTTTGAAGAGTAAAAGAAAAATTCTTTCATTGGTACACAATCCCCCCCCATCCCACCCCAGTACACTCTACTATGCAACCTTAATTCTGGACTCTTGTGATAACCATAATACCCTATCATATATCGCTTTTAAATTGTTTTCTCCCTTACCTGTTTTAATGCAGCATACATAATTTATCGTTTTTCTCAGTCTTACCCCAACCCTGATGTCAGTCCCATTCTACATCAGTGGCACCATGCAGTACTTGTCCTTTTGTGATCGAGACACTTCACTCAGCATAATGTTCTCCAGAGTCACCCATTTTGAACAATATTGCATGAGTTCCTTGTTTTTCAATGCAGCATAGTATTCCATTGTGTGAATATATCACAGCTTCTCTATCCATTTGTTTGTTGATGGGCACTTGGGTTGTTTCCAACTCCTTGCTACTGTGAACAAATCCGCGATAAACATGGGTGTGCATATATCTGCTTCGATGTCAGTTATGGTCTCTTTAGGGTATATTCCCAGTAGTGGAATTGCTGGGTCAAATGGTATCTCTATTTGCAACTTTTTGAGACAGCACCACACCATTTTCCACAGTGGTTGTACCATTTTACACTTCCACCAACAGTGAATAAGGATTCCAGTTTGTCCACAACCTCACCAGCATTTGTTGCTTGCTGTTCTGTTAAATTTTGCTGTTCTGACTGGGGTGACTAAGGATTCCAGTTTGTCCACAACCTCACCAGCATTTGTTGCTTGCTGTTCTGTTAAATTTTGCTGTTCTGACTGGGGTGACATGATATCTCACTGTTGTTTTGATTTGCATCTCTCTTAGAGGTAGGGATTTTGAACATTTCTTCATGTGCTTGCTGGCCATCTGAATGTTTTCTTTGGTGAAGTGTCTGTTCATATCCTGTGCCCATTTTTCAACTGGATTATTTACCTTTATCTTGTTGTGGTACTCAAGTATTTTATAAATTCTAGATGTAAGTCCCTTATCTGAAATGTCATTACCAAAAACTTTCCCCCAGTCTGTGGCTTCCCTTTTTACCCTGTTGGAGAAGTTTTTGAATGTGCATAGGGATTTGATCCTTAGAAGGTCCCATTCATCTATTTTATCTTCTCCTGGTTGTAGATATGGGACATCTCTTGACAAATTAAAAAAAAAAAAAGGGAAAATTTATACCACTGGTGGTACAGTCCGCCTCAAGGTGCACTGCTAACCCCAAACGCTGTGGGAGGTCCAATGGTTTGAATCCATCAGCAGTTCCACGGGAAAAGATGGGCAACCTCCTCGGGACTTAGAATGTAAAGAAATCCAATGTAAGTGCAATAAATTAGGACCAACCCTACAGCAGTGAATCCAAGTTTTTCTGAGCTCTGATATTCGTCTCAGAATTACATGTGGGGGGAGGGGAGGACACATTGGGGAAACAGTAATTGGAAAATAATGTCCTAAAAAGACATTTAAGGGAGCCCTAGTTTGTCTGAAAATCAAGTTCCTGACTCTAACACGTTTCTGCAAGTACAGGAAGAATTTCTAAATCCACTTCAGCGCATCTGTCAATCTGTTTTCCAGGGCTCGCTCTTCACTTTTGACATTCTATCTTCCCTTTGGAAGCACAGATAATTCTGCATAATAACAAAATTGGGCTTCTCTTTCTCCATTTTCAGAAAAAAAGTAAAATAGCTAAGACGTGTAAATCTAAGGACCCGATTGTTTTGTCGTGTTGCAGCTCAGACACCGAAATTAGCCTCAACCAAAAACACAAGTCCCATTGACAAAAACATTCGTTCTGAACACCGTCCGGTGGGGGAAAAAAAGAGAGAAAGAGAAAAGCAAAACAAAGCACCAACCTCCTCGGAGTTAAGTATCCGAACTGTCAAGAAAAAAGCGGGCCCGGATGAGGAAGACAGGAGGACTTTGCCCACCTGCCACCGGTAGGAGGCTGAGAAACGTTGACAGCTTTGAAGCCGTCCGCCGGGAGCGGGAAAGACCGGCGCGGGGAGCATCCGGCCGCGGGGCGCCTTTGTCCCGGCCGGCAGGTGCGGCAAAGCTGGGGGGCCCGTCCGGAAGGCCCGCC